CCCATTTTAACCTCAATAGTTATTGCATTGATGGTCAAGAGTATCGAACGTTCAGATATGTTACGCAAACCACGAATCATAATGTTGTTTCACAGTAGGCCTGTTTGTTGTGTACTTCTAATTCCTCATCAAGTAGTCATTGTGACGACTTGAATCCATTGTCATGTTAATTGGTTGACATTATTTTCTGCATAATCTAGTTTATTTGCTGTTTATGATTAACATGTGAGTTTGATCTGCACGATTATCCTAGGATTTTGGACAATCTGGATGTATATAGCACGTGTTTTCAACGAAATAAAGTTAATGGTGTATTTCTTTAACTGGAATATCATTTAAGGAGGAAATTATATTACCAGTATGTGCTTGGAGAATTATAGGGTAGTTCAAGTGTTTCAAACACAATGTATCTTGTTACAGCAAATAAAGAAATTAGTATAGAAAATTACCAATGTTACACTGTTTAACCCAATGTTGCGCAAGAATTCAAAACCTTACTCGGCGTGTGTACTACTCGAAGTAAAGACGCTCTAATCCCTACTAACTTGAGCCCTGTACCTTTACACGTTAGGATAATAAACTCACGGCTGATATATATATATGTGTGTGTGTGTGTGTGTGTGTGAGAGAGAGAGAGAGAGTTTTAAAATATAATATTTCCCAAGTCAAGATAACATCTCAAATGTAAACAAAAACATTATTCAACGGCACAGTATATAAATATATGTGTGTGTATGTGTCAATTCAATTTTTAATATAAAATTACAATCATAATGTTCACATATCAACAAGATACATATCTTATGCTTCATAACTTCGCTAAGATGAAATTTGATTTGTTAGCGAACTTCTTCACTCCTTACATTATGCTGGATATGATTTTACAAATTAAAACGATAAATTATCTGTGCGTCTATACATTAAACTGATACTATTACTAGTCAAGTACAGAGATACAAGGTTTCAGTACTAAAGAAAAATGAAGAACAAACATGCAATGTAACGAATTCTTATCTTCACTGTTTTTTTGTGTGGAAATTATTATTATTTTTTTTTACAATAAGGTTTACACTGCATCGTGTATCGTTTATACTGAAATACTGTAGTGAACAAATGACGTTTTCATTCATGACACGGTTTATATAGAATATTCAGAAACCACAATAATTTAAAGCCCTTGAAAACTTTTAATGAGCTTTTATTTACAAATGTTTGAAATCTCACTAAATATCAATACTTTATTAACTGGTGACTTAGAATATATCGTTACACAAGACATCTGCATAGATAAAGTTTTTATAAACATAACTTAAGTACAATTTATACAAATGTTTTTTGTTTTTTTTGGTAATAGTAATACAAATACTTGATGTAAACTCCTTTGCCTCTTGCATATCAAGAAAAATATTCCCTATAAAAAGAATTTATTTCCATAGTCATGGTTTTCTTAAAGCACGTGTCTGTAGGACGAAGTTTTCATAGGTTCGATGGATGGACGATATTTAAGTTTCTCTTCATATCGTTTTCTAAAATTCTTGATAATAGTGGTTAAGAAATCTTTAGCATATGTAATATAATGGTGGAAAATCGATAAGACTGTCTGGTTAACGTTAAGGGTCGTGGGGAACTGACATATCTACTGCCTGTACTGACTCAGGCAACCACCAAAGCACTAAACAAATACAACCAGCACTGGCATTCTATGCTGTTAATATTCTAAGACCATTTCTTTACATACAAATCAAATATTTAGTTCTTTTTTGTTTCAAAATTCTATACAGTGCATTTTCTTAATTTATCATATGGACATCAAAATATCAAATATTTTCTTCCTGCTGACTGGTAGCAGACTACAAGATGCAAATTGTTTGTTTCCAATACTAACAAAAATAAACCTTGATTCTACTTTTTAGACTAAATCACTAATAAATATTTATCGCATCAATTACGAGTTTCAAGTACAGGGGAAGTTCATTGTATATTATTAAATTATACGTTCGGTCTATAGAAGATTCATTTTCTTGGCACTCTCGGGAAGATGACAGATTCTGTCGAATTTTAACCTGCTCAATTTTAAAAAATAACGTTGCATGATAGATATCACTATCAGTATAAATCTTGCAAAACTGCTTTAAGCCTACCACATGTTAAACGTACGGAAGTTTCCAGAGTAAGAGCACTTTTAGTTAACATAAATTCTTTGTTTAGCAAAACATGACGCAGAAATTGTATATTTTGTATATAAAAAAATAAGGAAAAAACATTAACTGTATCACAATTTCAATTTACAAGATCCCCATGATTGTTTCACTGACTACCAGTTAGGCCTAATAGAATACTGGATTGAAAAATTAACAGTTGCTTGGCCTAAGAACTTTCTAGTTGATTCGCATTTTATCAACAAAAGTAAACTCACTCTTAGCTTGTAGTATTTCTCACATAAGATGGAAAAAAATCACAAAAATGCTTCAAATACAATTTCAAAATAACTGAGCAAATTAAAAAAGGTTATTTTATACCTCTGTTCAGAAAGCCTATTTACCACTCTTGCTTTTGTACAGTTTAGGTCTTTCCAATAAGACGTATTTTAATTTGTAGTCAAACCGTACAATAAAATCAGCGCACTCATCTCGACCCCATTGTCCAACAGTATCAAACAATTCTAAAGCTGTATGGATAAGTTTTAATAGGTCTTTCCAATAATAGAGAAGCGAAGCATTTTGTGTTCAAAACGTACACTAATGTCACCGCAGACTTAAATCTCGGTCCCGTTGATCAGCAGTCTCAAATTAATCTAAAGCTGTTGAGCTAAGCTTACGCAAACCACCAATAACGAGCATACAACTTATTTATTAGAAAGACATCATATTATTGTTGCTGTTCAAGATTTGACAGCCGCTATTGGCATGTTCCAATATTTGCTGCTTAAGAGCAGCAACTTGTTCTCGGAGTTTGTTTACTATTGCGCTTAGTTCACTATTTTCACCTTTCATCATTGAAACTTTTTCTTCCAATATGACGATTCGCTCAAGTTTACGACGACGGCACTTACTAGCTGCGATACGATTACGAAGTCTTTTTCTTTCTAATTTAATTCTTTCTTGGTCTTGCATGTCGATAGGAGACATCGGTGGTGGAGACTGGCCGAGGCTTGGAACAATCTGGGGTTCTTCCTTTACTGGACCTGGAAGGTGGCTGCTATTTTGGACTACGGTCGTTAATGCAGTTCGACCTGCCGGGTAACTGATGTTAGAACTAACTGTATAATGTTGGCCGCTTGTTGTAGCAGGCAGAGCGGATTCTAAGGCGGATGGCTGCATGCAGTCGGAGACGGCCATAGTAACATTTGTTTGGGTCAACGATTGGGGCTGATAGGGCAACATGGTGCATGTACTGTTGCTCACCGCTGTAACAGAGGGAAGACACATAGTACCCGTAGTTACTGGTACTGGTTGTGGGATAACATTACCTGCACTAGGTGCCGTAGACTGATGTAGCTGGTTCAGTGCTTCTACAAAACCTCTGGCATACTGTTCTTGCTCTTCACTTACAGTTTTTAGGGAAAACTGTGAAGGTGTAGGTGCCGAATTCACTCCTCCGTTTTGTGTAATGAAACGTTCCACTTCTGGCGTGCTTAATTTTAACATTTTCAAATCAGGCGAAGTCAATAGCGGATCAAATTTTTGGCGAGAATTTTGTTTTACACTATTTAAGTCTAGAGTCATATTTCTTTTCAACACTCGTATATCAGACATGTAGCGAGAGGGAGATTCATCATATAAAGTTGCTTCCATCACTATGCCTGCCATTTAGCGTTAGCCACGTCTTCAAGTTGTCGTTAATAATGTAAAACATACACAGTGGTATCCTAATCAATGTTGGGCTTCGATGATATAACGGTAATACATATGCTTTTCTAGAAAGTAGCAACTGAAGCCACACCATAAACTCTCATTTAAATGACAACTTAACTCCTCTCAGTGCAAACGATTTTACGTTAAATTTCTAGGTGTGCTGCCTACGTCACAAACACGCCAACGCGCACAAGTGACTCGGTAATATATCTAGCCTATGGTGTTTTATAATGCTGACTCAGTTCTCCATATATGGCATAACATAATAGTTCTTGATTTCCATTGGATGTAGCTGACGTCATTTCGAAGTACGGTGAACGGTTTTCATGGGAATGCTGGCTACCAGGAACTACGTATATGAGCATAAAGGTAATCACATGACTTCCGCTACAAATACGAATCAGTAGGGCTGGAAGATTTCGCAGAGGCTAACGGCGGCAAGTTAAAAAAATTATTTGTTGTTCATTGTGGTTGTGGGATAAAGTATCACTTAGGTTAAGATATCAAAAGTGTAATTATGTTAAATACGCGTCTAATTACTTAATCTAGTGAAAAAGTAACGATTTGCCAACGAAACTGTTTGTGAAGTGTAAGACTGTTAGTGTTATACAATCAGATTAAGAGAAGTGGCAAAAAAGCACTAAATCATCAATCAGTAAATGCTATAAGTTTTACATTACCCTAAAGAGAGAAGTGGGATCATTTGTAATTATCCATGAAGTGTTTGAACCCTGATCGCTTGGTACGATTTGTCTAGCTTTTAACTGGAAATAAATATACCGTCAAGGAGGGAGGGAGAAGTCTATATAGCACCTCACCCTTCCAGGTCGCGCAAGACATAATCAAACACCGATCTTGTTCCCGACACACATGGTTGTGGACCATTGGTGTACATAAAATATTAATTGAATTTGAAATCTATTTAGTTGTCTAAAGTAAACAATTTGTTATTGAGGTTCATTTTAGTAGCAAAATGTTCAAAGTATGATATTGAACTTTAAATGTTTAATAAGGGGTAGAGGCTATAACCAAAGCCCTAAAGAGAACAATTTTAAAACTTGCCTTAAAATCCAAGATGTAAAATGAATTAAAATTCAAGAAAATTTAGTTTAATCAATGTTAATGTAATTGTTAAAGTGATATATTACTTAATTAAAATACTGTAGACCGAAATTATCTGGAAAAGGTGTACTTTTGCATAAAATCTTGAAACCTGCCATTACTGTTATATTATCATGCCTTGAAATTGAATTAAACTTTAAAGCATATCCAAAGGTGTGAGAACAGGGAATATGTAGTACATTTGAATCATCATAGGGGCTCACTATTAGCATTTCTTACTTGGCTTTACTAGTATTAGTAGTACTAACTATTAGTGTTACTCAGTATAACATTGAAACATTTTATTAGTTTATTTTTGACATAGTATTAGTAAACAGTGTGGACTGTAGGCGTATATAATATCCGTTCAAAGTTTGACTTATTGTACTGTGTTTTAATATATATTGTTTTTTGCATTTCTCAAGTCAAGCCTTGTTTGTACTTAGACTTTAGTTTAGAGTCTAACTCTAAGTTAGACACTACTAGTAGTACATTACCAGTTTTAATTTACTCCATTATAATTTATATGAAATGTATAGCTCGATACCTATTTTATTAACATTTGAAATCTATTCCATTATTTGACCTATGTAGATCTAAGTTTATTTTATTACCAGTTTAATTTACACCATTGATTATGTGACCTACATGGTAACCAAACAGCTAGACAGTTATTAATATTAGGTGTCTAAATGTCTTACTTCCAAATTTTTTTAGGTGTCTGATTCAGTAATTGTTTGTGTCTAGTTGTCTATTATGGATTTAAGTTGGTACTATCCATACATTTACTTTTAGGTATGTTGTATTTTTGCAGGACTGTTTCATTTTTCAGGTATATATTTTTAAGATGAAATCATGTAATGGCATGGAATATTCCAGAATGTAAATGATAATTATTAAGTACTATTTATTGCATACTCTTTCTTTCAATATAAACACATTCATATTTGTATGTATTATAACAAAACGTTTACAAATCTTTATTTTAAGCCTTAAATAAACAGAAATATTTTCACACATTCTGCTAACATATAAAGTTGTGACCATGTGGTTTAAGTTTTATGGACTAAGAGGTACACATAAAATTACATTAATAAAACATTTATAACTTTTATAGCATTTAAGGTAAGTTTGCAAAATTTAAAAGTCACCTATTTTACTTCACTTTTTAAACAGTTGCATTTTTTTGTTTGGTTATACAAGTACATTGTTTTTAAATAACTAAAGCAATTTTTAAAATACTTTTATTTTGATATCTAATTTTAGGAACAGGTTTTGTATTTTACAAAATAAATTTATGGTCTTTTTTATTTTTAATTTTAAATGAATATTAGTTTTTATTTTACATATTTGAGAATTGAACCTTTTGTATGGAAAATGTGTTTAATTTTTTTTACTATAATAATTGTTACAATTTCTGTTTATGTACATATGTATGTATATAGTTTCTGTGTGATTGTAAAAGTGAAAGATGGTTAATATTCCTCTGCTATAATGATAAACTTTGTTTACAATTTGTGGTACAGTTTTTATTTTTATTAAAATTAAGTTTTAAATTGAATGCAAAACTGTATCTGTTTTATTGTTTGAAATGTATGAACAAAATTGATTAAATACAATTTTTTTATATTTACATTGAAACCAGGTGTTCTTTACAAACACATCCAAGATGTCATTCACTTTACACTAGATTTTGGACATCAAATTTTATGATTTGTTGAAAAATGTTCACAGAAGAGGTACTAGGATGATACCAGAGATGGAAAGGTTGTTATACAAAGTCAGTTAAGATCTTTGAAATTGTATTCTCTTGAAGAGAAAGAAGGGTTAGAAGGGATCTGGTTGAAGTGTTTAATATTGTTAAGAGAAATAATTGTGTTGATGCATCATCTTTTTTTGTACCTAATGGTGAGAATGGTAGGACTAGGGGACATAAATATAAATCTCGGCAGGTTAGGAGTCATCTTTAGCTAAGACATTTTTATTTTTCAAACAGGATAGTATTTAGCATTTGGAATAGGTTGCCTTCAGATGTGGTGGATGTAGTAAATGTAAGGGAAAGCTTAATAAGTATTTGTATAATAAGGGCTGACTTTTAGTGTTTTATTTTCATTTTAAAGTTTAGTTTAGTGGATGGGATGACTTAGATGGACGATCAGGTTCCTTGTCCTTAAATTATATTAATCTGTATGTATATAGAATTACTCATGTCATAATTCATTACAAGTGTTAATATGCATCTAATCAAAAGTAAATTACAAGTGATGAGGAGCTCAACACTGATACTTTGGAACAATACGCAAATACCACAGCTTGATAAATGTTATTTTGTTCTGTAAGGGAAGTATTTATTTTCTGACTGAATGTAAGTTTTAATTACCTGAGTAAACCAATCCACCAACAAAAATTAACACCAAAATACAAAATCCTATAATCTGAGTGCTTTTGAAAAGTTTGATCCTGATGAAGAAAGGTTTTGTATTTTTGTGTTAAATTGATTTCTTGAACCTACATGTTTTCCTAACATTTTCAACAAATATTAAAAACCTAACTTGAAAGGGGAATATAATTTCCAGTATGTATAAGCTAAATGAATCAAAGAAACCACAGTATGCTATAATTTCTCATGTGGGGTGATTGATAAATATTCATTTATTAAAGCTCAATTTTAAAACATAAACTTATAACAATGAACTATAAAACTAATTCATGTTTATTATAATTAATGAATATGTCTTAAAAATATACTGTGGTAATAATTAAAAGAGTTAGCTAACTTTGCCATCATAGTAATTAAAAGTCACTTTTCAGTCCCCAATATAAGTTTTTGTCATTAATTACGACTGTGAAAACACGTAACAAATATAGTTGAAGTTTATCCCTTCACAGTCACGTATAAGTTAACCATAGAATTACCAGTGAGGCCTGTATGGATCCCACCAGATTTTGACATACATTTTTTCAAAGTTATTTATTCACCATATTGCTTGTGTGTCCATGATTATGTTGAGACAAGATCCCTAACAACATTTAAGTCAGCTACTAAAAATACTATCAATATTAAAATTAATTCCACTAATTACTGTGGAGGTTCCTGTATGTTTTATATAGAGAAGGAGTGATCAATATGATGTAGTACATGCATTGTAGGACTCAACAGTAGTGAATGGTATAAAAACAAGTCAGTAATTTAAGGGATAAAATTATATGTGATATGTAAATGAACAGTGTGCTTGCTTGCTTACATACATACATACATACATTTACAGTGTTTAGTTAAGAAAGGACATCTATAAATATGAACTTCTAAAGCTTATATTTATATTATTTCTAATATTTAAAATCTTTTTAGCAACATTATCACTTCACAATTCAAGCATACTTATCATACACTATTTATCAAAAAATTTCTCTTTGTTCTGACTTATCGTTTTTCAAAGATTGGTTTAGTGGATAGGATGGCCTAAATAGACCAAGAAGCCCATTCTTGTCCTTAAGTTTTGTTATAATACATAGCATTGCAAATTTTTGAAAATAGCAGTTTACTTAATGAAACAGCTTTACCACTAAAAGCTTTACACCCATACCTTAAAAACAGTTTCAAAGTTTTTGTTTGTATTTATTAAAACAAGTTTCAGACTTTTCAGGTATAGCACAAGTGCTATAATTATGCATGGCTGCACATATTCATTGTTTTACATTTCTTTATGTGTTTGTGGATTTGTAAGTAGAATTGTGTAAAAGTATCTTTCAAACCTATATAAACTGCAAATCACTGGCCATGAATCTCTTCATTAAATACTAGAAATTATCAGCTGAGCTGGAACTATGGTAGCCAAAGCACATATAGTACAAGATATTTCAGTTGTTTAAAATGTGTAAACTGGCAAAACATTGAGGCATTTTTCAGGCCATTGCCCCATTGCTGCAAAAATATTCTTCATACTTTTGAGATGTAGATGTATTTGTAGTGATTGTTCTTAATTGGCATCCTTTCTCTTAGTCTGTCAGTTCAAAATTAGGGATGGCTATGCACATTTGGTATTTTTGGGTGAACTGATTTCCTTGCAAGTATCAACTGTTTATATCTACTAATAACAGCAGATTTTAACCAAGAAATTTGTAGTCTGTACTGAAAATATGACTCAGTTTTTTTGTGGGTGAGAAATAATGAAACTGGATAAGCTTAATATAATGAACATAATCTTTATTATAAAAGAAAAGAAAACAGCATGCATTCTTGCACACAGGAAAGATGGTCATTTCTACTGGCTCATGATTAAGTCCTTAGCTTGCTCTCTCTCAAGATAAACTTTTGTAGAACTAAACACAATCTCCAAATTGATCTGAATTTGTATAATTCAACAAGTAATCTCTGTTTCTTTGTCCAGTAGATAACGTCACCTCATTACCCTTGTTCTCTGTCAGCATTAGTTGGCTGTAACATAGACATTGTCCATTTGGATAGCAAAGGATATCACAGTTGCTAATCCTTTCAATATGAATGCTATATGTTACTGCAATATCCTTTCAGGCAGAATAGACATTGTCTACTATACGGAACAAAGAATGAAAGCAATTACAATAAGGCAACCTCAACAACTTTCTGGATCATGTCGTTATGTTGAAACTGCATAGAAACTAAATAAATAAAAAAATAGAATTATTATTTATAACTAAACCCAGTAGAGAATATATGATATGCCTGCAAGTCACACACACACACACAGGCCTTGTATAGCTTTGAGTCAAAACCAGAGATGAATTAAAAAGAAAGAAGAAAGGACATGTTTTCCCTTTAACACAGCCAGACAGAGGTTAAGATGATTACTTTTTTTTTGAAAATATGACTATTTTACAAAAAAAAATAACTTCAGATGTTTGTTGCACCTTTTCAACTCTTTCATGGCCCTCTTTGGAGCCTTTCACAATCACATTAGAATACCTGACTCAACTAATTTGTGCTGTTTAGTCTTGGCAATTTAAAGGAAAATATGTCTTACCTAACAATATGATACAGCAAGTAACAGACCTACAATGACATAAATTTTGAAATCCAAAATTGCTGCTAACAGTTCAGTTATTTTTTTGAAAAAACTTGTCTAAATTCAAAGATTAAAGGTATTAGGGTTTTCATGCTTGATAAAAGGTCATTTCTTTCTCCCAAATAGCCTGAAAGTGCATCTCAGACATCCACATTTTCAAATGGTCCTGGGGAATGACCTTTAGACCCCAAAAGCATCTCACTTTCTTTCATTTTTAGATAATTGCTCATCTTTACAAAAAGAAACAACTATAGTGTATTTCTGTGTATGCCATTGATAGTATAAAAGACAGTTTGAAGGCAATGCACATATCTAATCCCCCCCCCCTCCTAAAAAAAAAGACATATTGCTGATACAGTTGTAATGCTTCATATATGTGCTTTCCATATACGTTTCAGACGTATATGTTTTATTTAAAAGGCTGCTTTTCTTCTGTCAAAATTGTATATGATTTAGTGGGGGCTGTGTTTTAGTCTAGGCATTATTTTCCCATGGCTATGCATTATATGTAGATAATTTGGTTACATAGAAACTATAAATGCTCACTATGTTCTCAAACAAATCTTCATGACAATCTTTAGCTGCAGCTTAACATTTTACATCTCGAACTGATGCGATCATATAGTCAATAGCTACAGTAAATCATCATGGACTGTATCAGCTAACTACTAGCTATGTTTATTATCATTACAATGTATAAAGTTAGCTACCATATCAAGTAATTCTTTGCCCATATTTGAGCATACAAAAGCCAGAAAATAAGATCAATAAAAAATTTTGAATTTAAAAACCTGCAAGTAGGGACTGAAAAAAAAAAGTAAGCAAACAAGGCTGGAGATACTGTAGACATTAATAGCTTAAAATATATCTATTTTGACTGTAAATCTAGGTGACAGCATGCGCCATGGGGCCACAATAGGGATTTGTAGTTTGAGTAAATAATGTCTATAGTATCTCTTGCCTTGTTTGCTTACTTTTTTACGATCCCTATTTGCAGGTTTTTAAATTCACAATTTTTATTCATCTTGTTAATAAAGTTTTGACAATGCAGCACATTATATTTAAAATTTGAATAAGAAAAACGAAAAAATAATGTTATTTTTTTAATTTAGTGTTACTTGTTCACTAATATGTTGCACTAACCTCCTTAATATAAATTGATGTAAATGAAGTTGACTTTGGAATAACTGGCCAGTCACGTTTACGGATGTGATGACCCCACCCTCAAAAAGGTGCCATACAGATCTTGCTTGGTTTCATTAAACTGCTGTTTCGTTATCTTTTCTTATACTTAACACGATGGCTACCACATTATAAATTAAGTATAAATATAATTAAACATTCAAAAGGTGCCGAAGAACAGTCACAATATCCCAAGCTCATATGCGACAAGAGAAATTTGGCTTTGAAACATAATTGTCTGTGATCCCTCAGTATGTTACGCGCTCCATAACTAAAAGTCGGTTGTGACCCATCGGTGGGGCACATGGCAGCCAACGTGTTAAATGTTATATTCATGTGCAACGTACATGACTATTGAGAGTGGCATTGACCTCGCAGGAATTCCAACACACTTTGAATCGTTTTATAATGCAGCCTTATTGTGCAGTCGCTATGTGTTTTTCAGTTTATCTTCTGCCCCGGGCTTTGTTATCATGTATACTTTGTATCAGTCAGTAGAGGATCAGCTGGTGTGGGTGATAACACTCAACACGTGGATTA